CCACTTTAATTCCTGGAGCATGTCAGGTGGCATTCTTAGCACTAAATATATCGTTTTCATTGATAATATATTTTTCAACCATATTTGATAGTCATATATACTTTTGGCGTAAGGCTTCGATATATGCGTGGTCATCTCACTTGATTTCGTGTTGTCGCATTGCATCCTTCTTCAATTATTTATAAATTATTTTATTTTATTTTATCATTAATTAGAAAAAAGTTAATCAGCCTGAAAAATAACTACTAATTTATATGATTTATTTTAATTTATGGACTATTTTTAAATTTAATTACACTCGCTTTGGAATACAGAATAGCCCCAAAAATGGAAGAAACTATAATCAAATTGATTTTTAACAAATGATGCAAAAAATTACAATTTTCTTGTATTCAAGTTAATTAGAATTTCGAAGCTATCCGTCAATCTTAAATATGAATCATAGTCATCCTAGGTCGTATAGGATGAGGCAATAATAGTAGTCGATTTTTCCAACAATGATATGAGAATGCTTTAATTGCTATTGAATCTCATATAGTAACACTTTCCAACAGGTATTCTTATTCCATTCTCATTTCACGGCTGGATGAGACGAAATTATATGCAGTAAGGGTATTTGAAATTCAGTGGACACATAGGCCTAGTTATATCATTGTGGCAAATTCATTTCGCAGCTTCTCATCATATTATGTGACCTGGAGTGACTAAAACTCTTTTCGAATATTTACCAATATTCTATAAAATCATTATATATGAATATAGAAAAATTTTGTACATTTTTGTTGCCTTCTAAAGATAGATTCCATTATATTTCCCTCCATTTTTATTCTTTATTTATTCAGTATTCAAAGGTAATTTAAATAAAATCTAACAAATGTGTGAAATTCAATGTAAACATAAGACCAACTAAAATCATTGTGGAAAAATTCAACTATCAATCATTCAACACTTTATGTGACTTAGACGGACTCGAAATCTTAATCAGGCTGTTTTTTTAGTCTTAGTAAAGTAAGGTCACAATTCATACTATTGCACTGCACCAATCAACTATTTGCATGCCTATCAAAATTTACTATTTTTATTTATTTTGGTGAATGTACTGTTGAAGATGAAGCCACAAGTGGTGACGTCTCTTGCACGGCCTCCCTCTCAGACTCCCCCTTGCCAATCGCCTCAGAGACAAACAGTGTGGATCGATCCCCAATTTGTTCCGATGTGGTACAGATGAACAGCACTGAAACTGCTTGCCCTTTTTCTTCACCGACGCCACAGCCTTCATCTTCATTACACCCATTACTAATGCCCTCACTAGCAACACAGCATTCCTCTTCTACTTCAGTGTCACCCTCGTCTCCAGTGCTCCAGACTCAGCTGGCATTTTGGAAGCAACTTGATAAGCTTTCTCGATCTCCCATAGATCAGGATTTGTTTGTTCTTGGTCGCGAAGCTGAGGCGATTTCTCCACCACCCAGACAGATAACCAGCAATTTTGCCCTCCTTAGAGCCTCACTGGACCATACTAGCGGAGTATTGTCTGCCTATCCTTCCCAAACCAAGCAGACCATACAGACTCAACAGCAGCACCTAAAATGTTATGAACAGACCTGCGAAGAGTTTTGTAAAGCAACTTCTTCTCCATCT